ACAAGTGTGTATGAAGAATAATTTCCTTTCCAATAACTTAAATTTTACTCCACAGAGCTACGGGCTATTTAATAAGAGAAGTGATACATAAGACAAAAATGAGGAATGAAAATTTGAGATGATAGGGTGATATAAGTTTAAGTTACTAAATAAATTTATACAAATAATATTATGAATTATGATAAAATTAAAAAAATTAATTATTAAATAATATAAAATTTATATTTTAAATAACTTAATTTATATCATGTCATTAATTTAAAATTTTAATTTTATTTATCATTATTTATTTAATAAAATCAAAATTTTCTTTCTAACCATAAAACTGAAAATTTTCATTAGAAATATAGGGCATGATTGGAAAAAGAGCAGTGCTAGGGGCACTCGCTTTTGCACTCTCCGGCCAACACTTCCCCTTTCATTGGGCCACGTAAGCTTCTTTAAAGCTTTCAGGCCAACCTGTCGGAAACCAACATAACGTGGCCCAATAAAAGAGAAAGTGTTGGCCGGAGAGTGCAGGAGGCGAGTGCCCCTAGCATTGCTCTTGGAAAAATAATGTGGATCATTTTTGTCGTATTAGGTTGGTTGTACGATGGGCTGAGCCCAGGAACACGTACTCAAGAAAACAGTTAACCAGCTGTCGAATTCCTTAAAACCCCCAACCACCTGCCTTTGGGTTTGGGGAGAAAGCAATTTTATGATGTTAAAAGGAAAGTATTTTCTTAATTTGTACTTTTAACGTTAATGTTAAAAAGTATAATTATTATATTTTTTTATTAATTATTATTAAAAAATAAAAATAAATTTTTTATTTAAATAATTATCTAATTAAAATAATTAACATAAATAAGTGATGAATTAATGATAATTATTATATTTTTTAATAATAATTAATGTAAATAAATATAATAATTATATTGTTAACTTGTATATTTTAAAATACATATTAAACAAACTTTAAAAAGAAAAAAAACTGTGATGGAGAAAGCTTATCTAGACAAGGATCTCACTATTAATGGAGGGCAGTTTGACTAAGAGAGTCTTGGTATTTTTGAGACAAGCAATTATTGTCTTCATTCAACCCCTTTTATTTGTATTTTAACTTTTTTATTTTTATTTTTAAGATGGGGAATTACAAGAATGAGGGATTTTTTAAGTCATAGGTGAAAATTAAATTCTGATTTATTAGATCTAAATATTAAGATTTAAAGATAAATTATTGAGTTAGAAAACTTGATTTGTATTTTAAATTTTTTTAAAATGTTACTTAAATAATAATAAAAAAAAACCTATTTAAATTAATCATATTGATATATCATACATATTTTAAGTGTCGAAGTGCCAAGTTGAATACCAATTCTAACCTCCAACTTAGTGTTGATGCTGTCTATTTTGCAAATTTCCCAAGTGTTCTCTACAACCATCCACCATCAAATCCTTAGAAATCTGATTGTCACTTTCCTCTAAAGAACAAATATAGGGAATGAGTGGAGAATCACTATATCATCTTTTCTAAGAATGATTATTCCTTATTTATTCCATAATCTTAATCAAATGATCAATATTAATCCTTCTCTATTCTAACTATTGGCTTGCATCATTTAGCTCAGGTTCTGCTAAACCACTTCAAGTTACTACTAACATATTTTCTGGGAATTAGGGGGCTAAATTTATTAATTTTTTCTTCATGATTTAACTAGAGAATCCTCCTTAATCCGAACCAAACATGCTACTAAACTTGTATGGAATGCCATGGTGGGAAACATAAACCTTGAATTAACAATAGAAATAAGAAAGTAAATGAAATGATGATTCAATAAAAAAGTATTATATAATTTAAATTTCACAACACTTATTATTAAATGAAGATAAATTTTTTAATATTAATAATTATTTTTTTATCTAATAATTTATATTTTGTAGTCAAATTTACAAAATAAGAAACTTGTAACCCAAATATAAATTTTCAATTTCAAGCAAAATTGGCACAAGCGATAAGCACTAGTACATTTACTAGATTTTATATTATATTATACAACAAGACAGCTATCATTTTCCCCAGATTTCTTTGGGCTTAGGTAAGGTTCAAACACAAAAACTTAAAATTCCCAAGCTTTAGCGGCTGTAACCTTCAGCTTTCATACACTACCGAAATATATGTATATACTCAACTAGGCATCAAAGGATTTGATTATTAATTTCCTCCGTCAAGTAGAATGACGTTTCAGTAAGCTTTCTACTAGTGATGCAGCTGATGAAATTGTTCCCAGAATCCCAATAAGGGTACCAAATGCAATGAGTAAAAGGTTGAGAATCAGAATAGGTTTAGAGATATAAGCCCAAGAGATCTTGATGTAGAAGGCACAAGGCAAAATGATGCAGATGCATACGCTTACAAGGGACCCTGTAAGGCTAAGGACATGCTCAAAGTATGGCACGGAGAGGGCAAGGACAAGTATCAGGAGAAGGAGAAGGGAACCCACAATGCCTCTTGTGATCAGTTTCATCCTGGAACTCATTGAAGGAGGAAGATTGTGCTCCAGCTGAATTGCAAAGGGAGCAAATTCAAGTGCATATTTAGTCATGGGTGTTAGAACGGTTGCCCATAATGCAATCTTTGTGATGAAGTGATGTTGAGGCATGCTGAGAGTGATCTGAGGGTTAACTTGTGGCCCAAATAGTTTGGCACCGGTGAATGCTAGAGAAGCATAAAGTGCTGTCACTGAAGCAAAGCTCGCCATTGATACCTGAAACAAGTAGAAGCAACATCAATATTCTTTGATGCTTCTGAGCAAAACTAAAGTAGATTCTTTGAAATATTATTCCAAAAAGTCTATGGAGTTTTGGCTAGAGAACTTTGGTGAATCATTAATTTGATATTTTGATGTATCCAAAGAAAGAAAACCCAACGCAATTTATTTCTGGGAAACTATATATAGAGTCAAAAGAATCCACTACCTTGGTAAACTTTGAGGGATCTTTCATGGCTTTGTACAAGTTGGGAAAAACGATATGGCCAGCATAACTGAAGATGTAGAGGCCGGATATTGCAGGAATCTTTTGCAGATGCAGCACCGGTATGGTTTTGTTAGCTTTAACACCTCCAAAACCAAAAATAGCAGTGCATGCCACTGACACGAAGATAAGAGCTGACATCAAAATACCAACTGAGGAAAGGAATGATATTGAAGAGAGGTCTCTCAACCACAGACTGGGAAGTGCTACCAAAACTGCAATCACAGTGAGCAACTGAGATGGGGGAAGCACGTATTTTGGGAGCTGAATTTGGGTACCGGTGAAAACGGTGATGAGGTTATCATGGAGGGAGATGGTGTAGGACACAAGCGCCATGAAAATCTCCAAGTAGATGAAGCATGCAGCTAAAATTCCTCCTTTCTTTCCAAATGCAGTCTCTCCAATATCAGTGTAGCTTTTTGATTTGGGATTCTTCTCTAGACATTTTCCCAAGAGGTGAGAACTGTATCCGCAAATCGTCCCAAGTCCTACAAGCAGGAAAACAGTAGCCCATCCTCCATTTTCTAGAGCATATGGAGTTGATAACTGGCCAAGACCTTATGATAACATAAAAACAAAAGGATGTTAGCAAGTCCTTTTCAAGAAGCAAAAGGGGAAAGTCAATAAATGAAAGGGAGCAGAAAGAGAAAAGAGGTCTGTATTGATACAGAAGCAAATTTTGTACCTATAAGCATTCCACTCATATTAATAACACAATGAAAAAAGGAACTATCAGCATGACTCTGTTGCTCAACATCTTCTCCAGTTGCTAAAGTCTTCACTTCTTTGATGTCACAGTGATCGCATCCATCACATCCACCCACGTTGCTCTCCTCTACACAAATATCGCATCTATTTAGGCATCCCTCACCCAAGTTCACACTGTGCACTGCCTCAGTACAGGTGACATGATTCATCAGAGTGAGGCAATCTTGTTTAGAGCATACCTTGCCCTTCATTGGCATCTCTCTTCTCTTTTTTAGATCCACAAAGCCTGGGGCAGTAGAGAATCAAGAGGGATTCTTTATCACCCAAAGCTTAGCCTTATTGAAGAAGCTAAAGGATGGCCGTATTTATAGCTGAAGGAAACAGTTATGCTTGCACTATAGCTACAATTTGAAAGAATCTTTTTCCTTCACACTATAACTACCAGAAGGAGTGTAGTACTACACGTCCTACCAATTTAAACTTGATACATAATTTACAGGATACTATTCCAAAATGCGCTTGCTTGAGAGAATGAGAGAGCAATAGGAGAGACTTTGAGTGGTTGCTACAAGAAGATTCCATTTTCCATTGGCAAGTTATTAATTGACCAATTTGCTTATTCCTTTTCATTTCCAATATTGCAAAGAGATGTTAACACATGCACATGAATGCTGGCTGCTATTCCAAAAGAATCATATATGTCCCAATTCCTAACTATGACCAGAATTTGCATGTGATTAAATGTATATCCTCACTAAGCAAAAATCACACAACTTCGACATAGAAAGAGGATGCTAGTCGTAAAAGTTGAGATTAATGAACATACAAGTATGCGTTTGGGGCGGGTACATATGTGCACGTGCATAAAACATGAATCATCTCCATGGAACTTTATGTTCAAAATAAATCTGGAGGCATTAAAATTAAAAAATGGGCAATTAAGGGATTCTTCAGTTTTGTTTTGCTTTTTTATAATTTGAACGGGTTATAGTTTTAAAAGATGGACATTTGAATCTCAACTTTAAAATTGAGGATGCACTTTATAATCAAACTTATAACCATCGGACCACAAAACTCAGATGCAAAGGATTCTTCAATTTGGTTTGAGCTTTGAAGTTAGGAATATATATATTTGACAATTACAATACAAATTGGATATCTTTTTCCAATTTATGTTCAGATGTCCTATGGATACTGTGTCTTTCATAATGGATAAAAAGGGATTCCCCGCGTAGAAACCGGAAGGTATGATGTAGCTTCCCCTTACTCTCTCCAAGGGATTGATTCCTCTTTATTTTCTGTGTCTACAAATATATAATACTACCACTATGCATCTGACATCATGGATTGTTCACCTTTTTAGGTAGATTATGGGGAAAGAAACAACTTAAATAATGCAAAGGAAGTGGTATATATTCTCTGGTGTGAAACTGAAAATTATTAAACCTTTGCGGTTACATTCACATATTGCAGAAGTTATATTCAAAATTTGTTTGGTGTAGAAATATATTTTTTTAAACAGAACTTTTCGTGAAGTTTCCTAAAGTAAAATGAAATGGAATTATCACAAGTAATATAAGAAGTTTTTTTAAAAATTTAATAAAACCTGAAGTTTATAGAATCGTCCATTTTCAGAACTTCCAACCCCTACAGAAACCAGAAGATCCTTCTATAAGCTTAAGTTTTTTTTTTTTTTTGGAACAAACTAAAAAAGCTATATTTGGCCTAACTTCAATATCATAAAAAAAAATGTTTCAAAAATTTAGGTTAAAAAAATATATTTCATCAAGGAAAAGAAAAACACTCAATATATTTCTCTAACTGGAAGAAGTGTGAAGTGTGTGGATAGCATCAGCTTTACCTGCATTAGAATGAATCTCCAAGAAGGTAAGGGCATTTCCGCAATTCGGCAAATGCTTTTCCATGTAATAAGATTCTCAACAAAGAGTTGGAGGAACATTTCTCTACTTTTTGCTGCCATATCTGACTATCTGGTGGCGCATGAAACAGAGAGGGTAGGGGAAAAGTAGTCTGTACACGTACCAGTATCACTGCTACAAATGTGAGTTCGTTTCATTGGAATCACTTTCCGTCCCAACACTTCTTCTAAGAATTTGTCACAAAGATACCCCAAAGATATAAACATATCTTTAGAGAATATAAGACTTCTCAAGTTACCACCATAGCTTCCATATTCTATCGAGTCAGAAAGCAAAATGAAGGTCCTTCCAAATTTTCCTTTTCTGCATCTTTAGAGAACAGGATAAGCATTAAAATAATAACATTATTATATAAAAAAGATATTGCAAAAAAAAAAAAAATAATAATAATAATAAAAGATGGGGTTACCAGGGTACGTACATAATGACGGTAAGAAAGGAACCCTCGATCATTACTGTATGCACACTCAAGGTAATATTCTGAGTTTTTCTTATAGACTTGGCAATGGATCTTAGAATAAGAAGGATAGAGATTAACAATATATTACTGCATTATTATTAAACAGAAAAGTTGTATTTTCTTTTTTGTACTAAACACATGATATCGAAAAATCACATCAAATTCCAATTAATCTGAAGATAAATCTTGTTAAACCTCATAAAGAAAAGTTTTCTTAACACTTTTTTCTCCGTTCATAAAATTAGAACTTAAGATCTTACTTGAGAACCAAGCTATTTCTACTTAAACTAAAAGGTCATTGGTAGAAGTTGTAACTCTTGAAGCAATAGTTTCTGCAGATTGTCTATATATATATGCCATATTCATGAACTACTCATGGAGGACTGAGGAGGACAACTTCAAAATGGAGGTTGATGAAATGTTTGAAAATGCAATGAAAGGTAGGTGGGATGAAGTTGTGGGGGCTGTTGAGAAAAACCCCAGAACTCAAGAAATCAAGCTCACTAGATCAGAAAGCACTGCTCTGCACGTAGCTGTCTTGGATGGACAAACAGACATTGTGCTGCAACTGGTGGAAAGAACTGGGGAAAATGCATCGAAGATTCTAAACATGAAGAATAATAAAGGCAACACACCTCTACATCTGGCAGCAGAACTTGGCAATGTGAAGATCTGCCACTGCATGGCTTCAAAACATCCAAAGCTTGTAAGTGTTCATAACAATGCTGGTGAGGCTCCTCTATTCATGGCAGCTCTTCATGGAAAGAAGGAGGCTTTCCTTTGTCTCCATTATCTTTCCCAAGAAGCAGGCAAGGATATAGAATATTCATCATGCAGAAGAAGTAATGGGGATACCATTCTTCATGCTGCCATCTCAGGGGAATACTTCAGTAAGTGCTTCCTTCAATCCTAAAAAATCAGTCCGTAAGGAACAGACATTTGCTAACTTGTGCTTACTCAAGTTGCTGGTTTCATTACTTCGTGATAGGTTTGGCATTTCAAATCATCCAGCTTTACCCAGATCTTGTGAACTCCGTGAACGAGGATGGTTTGTCACCCCTTCATATCTTAGCCAGTGAGCCTAATGCATTCAAGAGCGGCAGTAGACTCGGACTGTTTGATCGTATCATCTACCGCAGTAAGAATTTCTATCCCAACCCATGCTTTCTTGCCATTGTTTTTGAAGTCATTGTATATATTTACAATTCTTGTTTCCTTTCCATTCTTACATTGTAAGGTATCATTGTTGATGATGAGCTCAGTTGGGAAACGCATGACTGGGAGGCTTATTTGAATAGTTCACAAGCCAGTACTAGCCCGAATTATCCAGAAAATTATAGATCATGCGTGAATCTCTTCAGATCGATAAGACCTTCATTAAGTAAGTTAATGTACTTTGTTTATCAGATACTAAATTGTTGCAATTGAACCAGACCTGCTCTTTTGCCCCCGTTTCAACTTAAAAAATAATGTGTTACTAACAGGGTTAGCCTATCTGCTTCCATCTAAGCATGAAAGTAGTAGATGCAACAGAAGTGATGAAGAACAGGCTAAAAACAGGGGCATCATTTCAGAAAGTAACTTGCAGATTTACCTACTCTATTTTTTCTATTTTTATGGATTGTATTTTCTTGAGAAGTCTTGCTTTATGTATGCTTAACCTGTGGTAAACGCCTCTGCCAATTATTCTCCAGGTATACGCCTACCAAAGAAGGAAGATGAAAATCACTCATTTCCCCCCAATTATGCTACAATTGTTCGATTTTTCAGGCTTATGATGAAGCTCTTACTAATTGTTCTCGGAGTTGGTTAGTATCAAGAATTTTTAACTGCTGAAAGGACACTGTTGAATGATGATCAGTTTGCTTCTAAAAATTAAGAACCTAGTTTTGAGTAAATAATTTCCTAGTTGTGGTGAGCTAACTTTTTTCTGTTTGCTATTGATTGACATGGAGGCATTTGGAGGATAACGAAAGTCTCAGAAAAGAAAAGGAGACACAGGTGGGCTACAATGGTCATGGATGAGCTGGTTCGGGGTGTCTCTTTGTACAAGTACGATGATCATGGAAGGAACCCTCAAAACTTCCAATCAATTCAAGATGATGAAACTGTAGTTCCTACAGCTCTACCATCATCGGATAATCTGGGGCCACCTCTGAGGGAAGATACAAATCTTGGGATGAATTCCATGACTACAACAAAGTACAATTACCAGAGTGGGGAAAATCAACATGTACCAGGTGAGCTTCAGTAATTTCCAAGCATGATTATGTACAATATTCAAACATAAAAGCCAGACTAGGAGACAAAGAATGGCTTGTGAGTACTCAAATGTTTGAGAAGACATTAGTAAAGAAATTCAGTATTTCACTCTCTGCTAGGACTCCTAAAGATTAGGCATCTAGACATGCATAGTTTTGAAACCCAGGAGTGGTACCCTCCCAAAACTAGATGTCTGGACTCCTAACTGAGGAACACAATTCCCTTAAACCAGGTACGTTCTTTCTGGTGACATATTTGTTGCGAAGTTTTGTTTCTAAACTCCAAATTAAAATAAACCAGGAGAAAGAGATACATGTAAGCAACCTGTTGCAAAGATGAGAGTCATTGAAACGGACAGACTCCCCCAATCATCTCCAGCTGCAAGCGAAGAGTCAAAAACATTTCAGAAGAACATGGAGTGCACGGAATCTGCAAAGAAAGAGAGAAATGAATTAGGGAAAAAGGAGACACCCATCTTAATAGCAGCTAAGATGGGAGTACTGGAAATGGTGGAAAAGATCTTAGATACATTTCCTGTGGCTATCCAAGACCAGGACTCTGATGGGAAAAATGTCATGCTCTTGGCAGTTGAAAACAGACAGACTTATATATACCAGTTCCTGCTCAATAGGAGACTGGTGCGTGAGAGTGTGTTCAGGCAATTGGACAACGAAGGGAACAGCGCCTTGCATCTTGCTGCAACGTATGGAGATTACCGGCCATGGCTTATTCCCGGAGCTGCATTACAGATGCAATGGGAAATCAAGTGGTATGAGGTATGTATCTACTGCAGCTGACCTTCTTTCTGAATTAATCAATGGGGGATTGAGCTTTATGAAATATACTGGCTTTGAAAATGCAGTTTGTGAAAAAATCCATGCCAGCTCATTTCTTTCCTCGTTACAACAAGCAGGGGAGGACCCCAAGGGAAATCTTCACAACCACACACAAAGAACTTATAAAAGAAGGTAGTGAATGGCTCACCAAAACCTGTGAGTCATGCTCTGTTGTTGCAGCCCTCATCGCAACAGTTGCATTCGCAACTTCAGCCACTGTTCCTGGAGGTGTCAGGCAAGAAGACGGTAAACCAACCCTGGGGAGGGAGCCTGCTTTCAACGTCTTTGCCATATCATCTCTGGTTGCTCTCTGCAGTTCCTTAACAGCCCTCGTTTTTTTTCTTTCAATCCTAACCTCTCGATTCCAGGAAAGAGATTTCGCCAAGGATTTGCCTACAAAGCTCCTCATAGGTTTGGCATCACTCTTCACATCTATAACTTCTGTCTTGGTCTCGTTCTGCTCCGGGCATTTCTTTGAACTTAGAGATGAAGTGAGATATGCTACATATCCGATATATGGAGCAACGTGCTTGCCGGTGACATTCTTTGCTCTTGCACAACTGCCCCTCTACTTTGATCTCACATGGGCCATATTCACAAAAGTTCCACAGCGCAGCTACAAGGTGTTTCCTTACTAGACTTCTTGCAGTGGGCAGTAGAAACATGTTTCCATGGTGAATTTGTTGGAATAAATTAAAAAACAAACTATTTTCCTTTTTCTGTTTTTTTCCTGGAGGCAACTTTATTTATATGATTAATAAAAATACTTCCTCTGTTCAATTAGTTGTCCTACCTTTTTATTTCAACAACATAAGAATGTAATAATTAATTAATAATATTTTATATTTATCCATAATTAATCACTGTCTAAATAAGCTTATTAATATGAATTGTACTAATTTTTTCTTTAAATAAGGGTAAAATAAGATTAAATAACATCTTAAAATGAAAAAAAAAAAGTAGGAAAATATAATATTACTAAATAACACTGTAGTTAAAATACAACTTATTTCAACTATAAATTCAATCCTCAGTGGAAGCTACAGTGCTACCAAGCAGTCAAAATTGGATACCACAACTGCGATAAGCAAGAAAAAGAAATTGTGCTTTAACAACTAGATTATCACTGTAGTGTAGTTGGACGAGGGACATGATTGAAACGTTAAAAAGGTGTCACCTGCTCCGGTAAACAAGAAGCAGAATGCAGGTGAGCAAAATCAGCTCCATCTAATTTGCCTTACTAGTACCTCAACTAAATGCTTTTCTGCACCTGTAAGGAAAAAGTTCGTGGTCGTCTTTTCTTTGACATAACCTGAAACCAAGAAACTTCAGTGATTCAAAAAGCATTAAAGGATTAGGAGCTTAAAACAACCGAAGTGAAGTTGAAGGAAGCTTTCAAATAGTTATTTAGCTTCAAGCAGAGATATGAGTCACAGAACATAGAATGATTTCTTTAATTCCTCTCTCATGCTTACCGTACGCTATCCACACAGTATAACTAATGCAAGTATTATGGAAAGCTAGATAAAATACTTTCCCAGTGTCATATCAGTGCTTCTGAGCAAGAAAATCCAAATGCCTCTTACCATGGTCAATCTCAGGCACTCCTTTCATAAGAGGATCTAAATTGAAATCTTAATGTACGTCATCCCAAGCTCTAAACATGCAGGAATACATGAATATACCAATATAAGTGTTTTTCTGTACAAATATATCATAAGAAATATGCAAGCTGTTCAGATCAAAATTACTGTCTTGGAAACCTCCATCAACATCCCACTCTAGCCATTTACATTTAATCCATGAAAAAGAATATGGTTGAAATTCTACATGGATCTTATGGTAGTAGGGACCAAAACCACACACACATGGCTGTCCATTGCAACTGAGTGTATCACCACTTCCAGAAAAAGTAAGATGTCTCCTAGAGTAGTTTTTCAGTCTCTCAAATTGAGGAGCAGCTGTTACACACCAGACCACAGAGTTTCACTTTTGAGTTTAATTTGCATCATATAATTACATTATACTAAAGTTGAACTTAGGTAAGAAAGGAATGAGGCTTCAAATAGATACACCCATGCAAAAATAAAAATAAATGGCTATTAACACCATACCTTAGAAAATGGAGGGGGCAGAGATGCCTGCTGTAAAGCCTTTCGAGGTTCTGTTAACTGTCGAATCTCTTGAAGTTGGCTTGCTATATTACCCAAAATTTGCATCTCAGTTTTTTCTCTTTCTCTATGCCCTACAGAGAACTTTAGCTTCTCTCTTCCCTCTTGCACAATCTTTAGCCTTTCCCTTAGCCATTCAACCTCGCTGTCGATTTTCAACCTTTCAGAATCAAAAGCAGACATGGAATTTCTCCGCAGATCATGAAGATAACCTTTTCCTCGGGAGGGACCAATTGGTGGTAATCTGCCACTTCTCTCTAAACTGACTCTTCTCCTTTCTGACTCAGTTCGTAACCCACCTAAGGTTGGACTATCACATAATTTTGGCATACTCAAAGCATGACGGATTGATGGCTGTCTACTGTTATTTCCACTTTCTTCACTATCCACATTAAATTTATCAGCAACAACATGAATATCATTAACATGATAATCAATGTCAAAAACTGAATTATTTGAATCTTTTCCATATTTGTCTCTAGTTTCCTCACCATGTGGAAAAATTATCTTAGTTTCATCAAAGGAACAGGTTGTCCTTGGTGTCAACCCTCGGCATGGACCAGTGTTATCCTTGTGCTCCTTTTCTATGACAGGGACAGTGATTTCCTGAAGCTCATTCAATCCCTGTGGACTAGTTGACTGATTAGAATGTGAAGGCTCCTCCAAATGATGCTCAAGTGGATTCTGGTCCATGTATGCCATTCGCTTTTCTGGCACTTCTTGATTAATGTCCTCAACACTTCTAAGCACATAGACAGGATTTTTTTCAACAGTCATATCTGAAGAGTGTGGAGTGGTTGACTGATTAGAATGTGAAGGCTCCTCCAAAAGCTGTTCTAGTGGATTTTGGTCCATGTATGCCATGCCCTTCTCCGGCACTTCTTGATGAATCTCCTCAACACTTCTCAGCACATAGACATGATTTTTTTCAACAGTCATATCCGAAGAGCCAGCATCATCTCTGAGTTTGGGAATTGGAAATTCTTTTCCAAAATCAAGAGTATGATTTTGCAAACCAAAATTGGACGTGACATCATCATCTGAAAAAACATTTGAATTTTTGGCCTTTTCCTTTTCAACATCAGATTCATTAGGCTGATGTGACGTTAATGCTGGCACCTCACTTGAGTATAATGACGAAACTATTTGTCCACCTGTGGCTGTCATATTATGCATATCAACATTTAATTGCTCTTTCCCAAACAGCATTTGTCTATAGCATTCAACTTCCTGCTCCAAGAAATGCTTTTCCTTCTCTCTCCTCAATAAGATCTCTTTAAGAATGTTCATTTCCTCAGCATCATATGCAGCCTTTTCTTCTCTCATCCTATAGTATTGCCTAGCCTCCATTTCTACTGATGCCTTCTCTTCTTGTAAACGTAATATCATAGCCATAGCTTCATCTGCAGCAGTAGCAGCAGAACTTCTCTCTTTCTCAAGTTCAAGGTATAGAGCTTTGCAAGCACTGTGTTCCTTTTGTAGTGCTTTTTTTAAGAATCTAATCATACTTTCTTCATTTCCATCAAAACCAAGGTCCGATTGTGAAGGGGTCATGAACTCAACAAGTGATGAATCCTTCTCTGTGGACTTATCCTCAGCCATAGGTTCATCACTTTCAAGACCATTAGAAACTTGCTCAAGCAAATCAATCCCTTTTGAAGCTTCCTCACCATCTAAAATAACATAAACATCCTCATTAGATGCTGCAGAAACATTCAAAACTTATTACTGGAAGCAAATATTCCATAAACCCAAATTCTAAGACATCATTGCAACAGCCCCTAGCACACTCAAAAGAACCTAAGACTTCAGAAATCAAGTGCAGCATAATTAAATCCATCTTCACCAGCCGTATCATATCATGGGTATTCAGTACAATCCATTAACCATAACAAGCCTCACTTAGAAATTGAGATTCAGACTCTTAATGCAGTAGACATAATTGTCAACCTAAAACAACAATTGATCTATTTAAACAAATTAGGAATTTTGAGAATAATTTAAATGTGCAGTTTTCCACAAAAATATTCAATAGAGAAAATAGTAACCACCCATGCACTTAAATTCATGTGATATATTTGGTTGGCAACCATTTGTTATCATCTAAATATGCAAAATATTAAATTCAAACTCTGCAACAGTCTTTATTTAGTCCAACAGTTAACACCTTTAAAACACAATCCCAAGCAGTATATTAGTTCAGATCACACAAGCCGACCAAAAATGAAGTTTAAACACATAACAGAAATTCAAAAAGAAAAAGAAAAAGTATCAAACACATAACAGAGTTTGCATTCACAATTTTGAGTATCATCACCTTCAAAATTAAAAGGAAAGGAGCTCCCTTCAGCTATACCGTTCTCACTTTTAGAAACAATGTCAGGAGATTGTTGAACAATTTGTGCAGTTGACTGTAAACAATCATATGATGAATGGGATGATGAATGCGATGACAACTTCCCAAGATGACCAGCTGCTCTCTTGCGGCGCCTGAGCCCATATCTTGATTTTTGACTCAGACCTCCCTTCCATTGCAACCTTCCTTTGTCCACTCCTGGAGAGTTGATAACACGATTTCCAGCACCCATTTCGCTCCAAGAGCTACAAGACGCTTCATCCTCAAAGTTTCCATTCCCCTTTTCACCAAGACTTCTCCGCTTCACTGACACTGAATTAAATTGAGAATCCAGGTCATCATAGTTCCAAATAGAATCGAAAGGGAACCGGGTCTTGACAGACAACAGAACAGATGATATCTTCTCCGCTGGGACACCCACTAAGTGTCTCTGTAAGCAGTTAATCGCAATCGGATTCCCAAATAACCCATTACAAGGGCATGGCAGGCACAACCCAAATAAACCCAGAAATTTTGAGGCAGAATAAGCAAGAACCGATCCACAAAGCAGCAAATATGCTATTGCGAGATCAAGAAACGCACCTACTAGCGTACTAAATGTCCAACAAGATACCACTTTGCAAGGCATTTCTGAGAAAAAACAGATTCCCACCAATGAAACCTACCAAATTAACAAGAAACTAAATCTATCTTGCTGTTCCAATGCCAGAAAACCGAAATATCAGAACTTTCTACGGTAAACACTGAACAAATGATCAAATGAGCTTGAAAAGTCGTCGGTCATATCAAAACCTGTGATATTTAATGGATGCTTTCAAATGTTTACGAATCCTGAAAATCTTCCATCATTTTCTTCTCTTTTCCCAGCAACCAAACGTGTCAAGAATACACAACGAACCCTAATTCGACGAAGAAGAAGAAGAGTGAGAGAGAAGAAGGCAGAGAAAGACGGTTTTCTATATTTTGATTTTGATGGCTTGAGAACTTTGAATTATCAGTTGCGTTTCCGATGATGAAGATGAGATCCCAGGACCACGCCCACGGCGTCGTTTCAGCCGCCCGGGATTTAAAATCTGAGATCTAGGAGCGTTAAGAGAACGCGCTACATTGATTTTTTTTTTTTTGGTTTTCCGCCCGGCATTCGAGACTTCGCCCGACTAATCCAACCTGACCCACGTCACGCACCTGGAAATAATAGATGAATCTCTCAACAAGGGCTGTTGCATTCACAAAATCTCTAACTCGAAATCTTGTTTAAACTGGAATAGACCGTTTATCACTTGATCGAATCCTCGTTGGTACATTGATACCTTATGATATCTCCTTCTTGTTGATAGGTGTGATACAGGGATTCTGATTGCGCGTGGGATTGGAGATGCACTGATAAATCTCGGCGGCAATGTTGAGCTTCTTCTGATCCCTTTTTGAAACCGTCTTTTCTATTTTTAACGGCTAAATTTCTGAAGCTTGATCTATTATTAATTTTTAATATTTGTTATAATTATAATATCACGAGTAATTATAAATTT